TGAAGATTTCTGTCTTCTGGGTTGTTGCGCTGTGTAGTCTGGTCGATGTTTACCAACGTTTCAGAGGTCATACTGCCTCCGTCATCAGGGCGATGCATCAGTTTGCACAGCGGAACAACCCAGAAGACAGAAATCTTCATATTCACCGCTGTGAAAACCTCAAATCATGCATATCACACAGGCTTTCCATAGTTAAAAGTAACACTTCCGCATGAAAAAATCTTCTTGTTCGCTAAGTCCACCGTTGTGGATTTCATTCATAACCCTGGAAAAAGTGGCCTCTTCAATGGTCATAAGTCGACAATATGTGTTCAGGCTTTTTATCGACACTGCATTTCCGTATCCTTTGTGTTTTGTCACAGCGGGGCACGCCGACCATTCGTGGCTCATCGCCAAGTACAACGGTATTTTGCAAGGAAGTCTGCGGTCGTTTTCTGCTTCTAGGGACGAAGAGGTACGTTCTTTCTCATAAGCCATATTTCACTTGCACAAACTCGATTTTGTGCAATATTTTATAGCTTTGGTAAAATATATTTTCATAATTTTTTAAAATGTCTTCAAATGACTCCAGGTTGTCGTTAATATGGATTTATATACTCATATATTTCGCTATTAAGGTGTTTGGAAGTGGTAACGTGTTCAATAATCTGATTATTTGTAATTATTCCACACTCTACCTTTTATTTTCAGAGAGATTTATACGAATAGGCAGGACAAACTTACAGCATATTACGCATGAGCAAACCAATAAATTCTTATAATATTTTGGTTGGAGACTTTCATGCAATGTAATTACTTGAAACACGAAGACAGGACAATATCAAAATGTATCTTACATTGAGAAAGTGAGTTAACATGTTACCGAATTCAGAATAAACTAGAAACTGGTACATTTTGGTCACGGAGATGGAAAGATTTCTTGTCGAGTTATGTTTGTGTGCGTGCATATATATATATATATGCGCGCCCCTGCATGTTGTAAGTATAAAATACTTCGGTATTAGCTTTCTTATCTTCTCACAGTCTTAAATATTCAATACATATAACTTTTTACAAGAATTTGCTATGAATTGTATGCGGTATGTTATCACCTTTATAACTCACAGTTTTCTACCGATAATAAAGCCAATATGCCATTCTTGCGTACTTATCAATTTAGAGTGTCGCTAGTTCTACCTAAGGTAGGTCTTCTAATGGGAGACATATCCGAGAAATATGGATCTTAGCGATTAGGCCCATAAAATTTGTAAAACAAAAACACGAATAGGGTGACCACGAATAATCTGTTTTTAATGTTTGGATTTGATGGCGATAAATAATGAACCTTTGAAACTAGGCACAGAAAATAGAGTGCGTAGCTGTGGCATTTACAATCCCCAGCCCGGGGGCCGGATGCCCCCCCCCCCCAATCATTGTTTATCCGACCCGCGTAAATATTTACTGCTTTTAAAATCATTTAATTCACTGCTGAAATAAATTTGGTGCGTACAATATTAAGGTATTTTGTGTTTTTAACACTGACAAACAAATATTTTTAGTTAATCATTCCACAAGCATCGATTTCAAATTCAATTCTTTCTACTACTGTTAATGACTTAATATCAAAAAAGTATATCCGGCCAGGGGCTAACTGGTGTAGATAGATGATTAATTTAAATTATATTCTCAGTCTACATACAACGATATCTATTACATGACTCTTACGGGTTGTTTCGGCAAATTTTGCTGGTAGACTGGGAATAATATAAAAGTTCAAACTGAACCACAGCATGGCGATGAAGTACGAATTAATCATAAGCTGGTTTAGAAACAAGACGGGAAATGATGTAGCAGTAAAATATCACATTAGGGCAGCATCATTAACTGCAGATCAAAACGTTACATAACAACTCAGAGCCTTACAAAATAAATAAAATAAAAATATATTAACGAAAGATCAGGAAGAAATAACGATTACAACACCAGAGACAGACAAACATCGTATTAAAAAATACCTACCACACGCAAAACATTTTTAATGATCTCAAACGCCGTCATATTTTCTACATTTTCCCATTTCTTGTTATAATTTTTTATAATAATGTATCAGTATACGTACAGGTTGATTCAACGTTCTCTTTCATGTATTTGAGGTTATGTTATGCGGCCATAAACATATAAAAACGCAAATATACATTTACCCGGAAACGTCGATATTTTTACTTACAAACCTTTAAACTGACACTTTACAAATTACTTGGTCAGTAGAGGCCATGCAGAAGCGTAAACAAGTCAACCCTTGATGGATATCTTCTGGGTTGTAGCGCCCTGTAGTCTGGTAAAAGTTTACTGACGATTCTAAAGTTATAACACAGAATAAAGGCATCTTCATATTCGCAGCAATGAGAACATGAAACACGTGTCAACATTTGGCGTGGCTGTCTTCAGTAAGCAGGTAGTCAAAAGTATCCTTTTTTTTCATAGCAATTGCCTGGCGGTTACCCAATTACACGAAGAAAGTAATTCCAACATAACCACCGCTGCTGGACATTAATGTGACTCGAGAAATTGAATTACTGTTAAGTAATTTGCTACGTAATAACTCCACTCTTGATGTCGTGCACCATTGTAACGTCTCAGCTTTGTTGTAGAGGCCTTTGACGCTTTAAAAACACGGGTATTACACAATGTAAAACCATATCTGATAAGGAAATATAATACGAACACTACAAATTTGCAAATGCCCTAGTTAAGAGGTGTTGTTAAAAATGATTACTAGGTGTCCGGTTGAGTGACTTCAACGACAGAATCGTCCTTCTTCAGTTAACTTTCACGCACTTTCTTGATTCATGTAGTTCATTTAGCAGGCTATAATGTGAAACAACTCTTCTCCACTTGCATATTAAAATTGAGGGACAAATGACCTTGGAACATACGTTTTTCCTTCCTTCTTTGTAGGACAGTAAGCATCCGGTACACGAAATCTAATGAACCACATCTGATGTGGAACACTGCCAACAGAGACAAGTACCGTACTGACAAGGATTTTTTCAACCCAGAATCTCTGCGTCTTACGTAGAAACTTGAAGTAAGTGTATCTCAAAATGGTGACGTTTCCAGACCAACGTGTATTTGCATCTTTGCTTCTGTGTTATCATACAACGTTCGTTGTGTGTTCGAAATATAGGTCCTAATGATGGAGGCAGCATTTACCTCTGAAACATCTGTAAACGTCTACCAGACTACAAGACGCAACAACCCAGAAGACAGAAATCTTCATCGCCCTGATGACGGAGGCAGTATGACCTCCGAAACGTTGGTAAACATCGACCAGACTACACAGCGCAACAACCCAGAAGACAGAAATCTTCATACTCACAGCTGTGAAAGTCTAAAATCTTAAATAGGAAGGCTTGTTCTCACCTTTAACATGAAGATTTGTAAATGGCGGCCGATTCAACAACCACATTCGGAACAACACAACACACGACAAGATGTTAAATGGAGAATTCAAAGAGAAATATGCTTCACACAAGAGATCGCTTTCCATCTGACCTTGCAATGGAATTCACAAAATGGGTTTTCAAGTTCGCAATTCAAGTGGCCTTTGCCGTGACTACACACGTAAATAAGGCACAAGGGCAGAATATCAGTAGCTGAAACGTATTTAACCGAACCTGTTATTGCATGCATCGAACTTTTCACGGTGAACGTGTAAAATAAAAACAAATTAAAGAATGTTATTATGGAAAGTTGTTTACCTCGAAGTACTGTAATTATGCTACATAAGAAAAAAGTGTAAAACTTGGCGTGTCAGAGATATAATTATATTTATTTTGCGTACGAATTTGTTATCATTTAATACAGCATTGGAAATTGTAAGAAGCAAAAGAAAGTGCGAGTTCTCAAATAAATTAATATAAATAAAACCAAGAAAATTCACAGTCCACACATTTTCAGTGATTTTTTTTAGTTTCGGACTGAGATAGAATTTGAACCAGTTACTTAAGCATTCGAACCCAGAATTCGAATGCCCATAATCATGCATATCATAGGCGACAAAGTTTTAGGAAGATACGAGAACAACCGTGGACCCCCCCTCCCCCACAAACCTCACTTCCGAAGTATTTGTTATATGAACCTAGCATAGCGATAATATTAAAATGCTTATCACTTATCAGAAGCTTAACTTTGTTTTTGTCCCCTCGATTGCACAATAAATACTTCAGTGTCCAACCACTTTCTTTTTTTTCCTTCCTCTGTAACTACGTGAACATGCGTTTAGATTCTGTTCCGCTTGGTCGCTGGGACCGTGGGTTCGAATCCCACTCAAGCCATGATGTCCTGTGTACAGGTAGAGGCCTCGCGACGGGCCGATCCCTCGTCCAAGGAGTCCTACCAACTGTCTAATAGATCAAAGCCAACGTAAAGTTGGGACCCGCAGATGCTCAAGGCACTTGAAGAACGGGTCTTCTAAGTATCGTAGGTAAGTATTATGTTGCACTAAGCACATTAGTTAACTCACTCTCTTAACCATGAATCAAGGTTATCTGCTGCTGAACATTTGACTACGCCCTCTCATTCCTGTATTTCTGTTAACGCTACATACGTAACTACATGGAATGAGAAATACAAAATCCTTGACTGATTTAATGAATACTTAAAGTTACATTCATACCCGCTCATTCACTCAATGGTACAGGAAATTCTTTTAAAAGTCTATTGAACACTCGGCTTGTCAAAGAAAAGCCCACTTTCTATATGAAACCCGAAGGTTCATCACCGTGTTCACAAAAGCCCGCCAACGGACCATATCCTGAGCCAGCTGCATCCAGTTCGATCCATTGATTCCTATCTCCGTAAGGTCCATCTTAACGTTGTCCTCCCACGTACGCCTTCGTCTTCTCAGCGGCCTTATCCCTTTAGGCCTCCCAACTAATACCTTATATACACCCCCTCCCCCTTTCAATGCGTGCAGCATGTTCCACCCACCCCATCGTCGTCGATTTAATCACCCTAAGAATATCATCTTTTTCCACACTGTTCTCAAAGACCCTCAAACTATGTTCCTCTCTCAAAGTGACGGACCACGTTTCGCACCCATACAGCACAACTGGCAAAATTACTCGTCTATTTATTTTAATCTTTAGTTTTTTCTTTATATGAGACGGGAGGACAAAGCATTTTGGGCTCAATGAAAGCAAGCATTCCCTGAATTTTTTTTTTTTTGATTTTGATGTCGTCATGAATGTCATTCCGATCTGTTAGTGTCGTCTTCAAGTACTTTAATGTTGTCACATTTTCGAACGATTCATTAGTTATCCTCTTGTTCTGGACCTGTCCTGAATTCTGATACCTACACATGATCATATACTTTGTCTTTTCTGTGTTTATTTCTAGACCAAATTCCCTACTAGCCCTTAAGAGTGTTTCTGTGTTCATTTTTATAGTATTTATATTCTTTTTCCCACCAGATGAATATTATCAGCATAGACCAAAACCTGATGTGTTCCATTCAATTCCAAACCTCCCTGATTTTCGTAAATTTCCCTGATGGCATATTCTACTTCGTGAGCGGAAAGTGTTAAAGGAGCTGAAATTCATGTGTGCTCAATGTGGGGACAATGCATTAACACGACGGAGTGTGTTTGAGTGTATAGACAGGTTTCACAAGCGTAACTACGCTCTAAACGTCCGTCCACGACAACAGGAGACGACATGATTCCCACGGACAGAATAATAAGAAAAAGGGACATTTCATAAGCACTAGACATCATTGAACAGCGCCTCTCGTCTGCTGGAGCGTTACAGCAACGAACACAACAGTTTTTTGAATCGCATTATCACTGGCGATGAAACTTGGACATAACCTAACCCAACCACAAGCAAACGTTAAGGGCGGTATCACACTAGGATGCCAACGGGAGGCCATGGCGCAGCTGCCAGCATCTCGGCCAAACTCAATGCATTAATTTAGTAGTCATATATCGCACCTGGCATCCGTCTGGCAGCGCTTCCAACTTGGCATCGCTGCC